CATTAAGTAGATCTTAGAATCATTATTGTCTAAAATAGCAGCATAGCAGACAGAAACTTCAAGACGCATGGAGATCACCAAAGTTAAGCAGCATTGAGCAGGGTTAATAGTTGGATGGGTGATCACTGGTGTTATAGCCATAAAATTAGTTCTAGATATTTTTTTTGCATTTTGATCAGTTATACAGAATTGCGTAGGACCATATTAAATACTCTATCCGTAAAATTAACCCAATAATTAATTAGATGTAATTAATATATAATTAAATATTGTTATATATAGTTATATATAATTATATATAGTTATACATAATTATATATAATTAGATATGATTATATTTGGCCATTTTTCATATATAATCATATATAACCAATTTATATATAAATATATATAATTATATATAAATATTTTTTCTCGGGTTAACAAAATTCTTAAAAATAAATCTGCTCTTTTGATTAATCGGAAAATAATATTGAAAACCATGTTTTGTTGATTTTTTAAAAATTAAGTATCTCTCGAAGAAATCAATCGATTTTGATGCGGCTTACGGCAATTGACGTCATTTTTTGAGTAGAAGAGCTGATTAGATTATAGGATTGATCGAAACAGAAGTTTGAAAGAATTTCAAAAAAAAAAACATTTTTTAAAAATTAAAAAACTGTTTTTCAAAAATTAACAAATCCGAATTATTGAGGTTTTCTCAGAATCTACCTTTCTAATTCGGTTTCAACTTCAAGAATATCTAATTTTAGCAAGTCCCTTTCAGATTCTGCAAACCGCTTTTCGATCGGATACTACGTTAAAAAAATTTAAGGTGTTTGAATGTTTACATTGAGACAAATTTTTCTCTAAGTACCAAAAAATTTTACGAGAGCCATTGGAATATGTATTATGATGTGGAAGCGAAAACTTTCAAACTGCCAGTTTGAATTAATTTTATTTACTTACAATTTCCTTTATGTTTGTTCAGTGATGATCCGTGAGATTACCTCAGGTGCGAGTTGCAATAGATAATAACGGTAAGTAGGACCTAAATTATTACAAATGCACTAAATCACCGTTTATTTCAATCTAAATACTTTTATTAACTTCAAATAACTATAAATTTTCACTTTTCTATTAGTAAATGTAAAATAATAAGAGCCGTGTTTTAATAATTTTTCAATCCAATAAAAATTCTTATCCTTAACTTTAAATAGCTTTTTTGTATATCGTTAAATTTCTTACCAGTACATATTTGATTCTCACTTGAAAATTATTCGTTTGGGTATATTGAAAACCCAAACAAAAAAAAGCAAATCCCCTTTGTCATTCAAATGGGAAATCGAAAATCACAAAGCGTCACTTCTTAACATTAATATTAAGAGATGAAACTTTACCAGAATTTTTTTTTTCATCTTGGATGATATTTTCATGGTAACTAAGGAAAAAAAATTATGTCTTTATTGGCCCACCCTCCCAAGTAACATGTGCTTGAGCAAGATTTTGGTGCCAGCGTCTTGAGCAAAACCCCTAGTTGCTAGTGTCTTTTTCTACATATGGGTCTTGCTCAAGTTTATTTAAAAAGACATGGTTCAAGATTTATATATAACTAGCTCAAGACATCTTGTGCAAGAATATGAGACAAGTCTAAAGCAAGGTGCATTGAAAAACTTTCTGACGCATTTTTTGTACCAGAAACTCATAACAAAGACTTACCCATGAGTTGCTCAAGATTTGCTCAAGATCCATAATTCTCAGAAATCCACTGATTCTATACAAAATATAGGAGGGGTAGAATGATGCGAACGTTCATTCGAAAACATTTTATCTTGAGCAAATCTTAAGCAACTCTTGCACAAGTACATTTAGCATGCTTCTGGTGTCAGTCTTTCTCAAGACTTGAGCTATAATCTGGCCCAAAGATCTTGTACAAAGCTTGTAAATTGAATTTGCTACAAGTATCTGGAGCAAGACCCATAGGTAGAAAAAGACACTAATAACTATCGAAATTGAGACCAGATTTGCTCAAGCCTTGTAAAAGATTGCTATATGGGCTAGGCCACATAAATAAATTATCAACCAAACAACTTCCAAGACATCCCTATCCTATTTCCGATGTAAATTTTGTCTCTACTTTAACCATAAGATAAAAAGTTTCTTCATGTACAATTAATTTCTACTCATTCATAATCATTTTAATTGCCTCAACACATCTTTTTTCCTGACAGTTAATGATTACCCATTTTTTTTAATGTTTTCAGAGAATTGACGATCGTCAGTGTCTTTTTATAATTATTATTTCAACTTTCAAAAGTTTAGAAATGCATCATTAACTTGAAGCATTTGATCTAAATGAATTATTAATATTTACAGTATTTACAAGTAATTTTAAATACAATTTAGTTGGTTATAAAACTAATCATAATCTATTTCTTAGAGTAATTATATTATTGTACACTACTTATATGATAAATATTGAGTGACAAGAACTAATTAAATGAGACCACTAATTTATATGAATAAATTAATTTTTTCTATGACTTGATCCCTGACAGATCCAGTTTGTGGTTAAATATCATAATCGCGATGATTCACGTTAAATCTTCATGATATTAGGCTTTTTTACCGTTTATTACCACGAGTAAGGTGATTTTAAGTGAATCACCGTGATGACGATGTTTCACCGTAATTCAGATATACCTAAGATATGAAATACTTAATAGGTAGAGATTATTATACGTTACAATTAAAATTTCAAATAACCCTGATTAAGAAATCTAATTTGAAATGATTTAAAATGATTTGAAATATGAAGGTAATAATTTCAAATCATCTTTCTGAATCAGGGAATCTCGGTTTTTTATATCTAAAAAATATTTTATATGATGACAAAATTAAGTTAAAGACGTTTGATTTATTGATATGTATGTACAGTTATATTATTTACATGATATATATATATATATATATATATATATATATATATATATATATATATATATATAGAGAGAGAGAGAGAGAGAGAGATGTATGAAGAAATTGAAGATTAACAATCATCATTAACAAAATACTACATACATTCTTACTGAATTACATAATTCATTGATATAATTGATAACATTTTTGGTCATGATAGTAAATATAATTGATAATACACCATACGGAAGAATAGATAGAACAAAAACTGTAGGTGACTTTCAAAAAACTGTATTTTTCTTTATTAATTAAAAAAAATAACCTCAAACCGTAAAGTTTGTTATTTAACGAAGTGGATAATTTGATATTTTTTTTAAAGTTTCATAGACTTAAAAATAATTTTTTTCCCGATTATTCATTAAAACAATCATGGGTCGACTTTTTCTTAAATAGACAATTTTAATAATAAATTTTTTGTTTCTTAAGTATAAATATTCATAGCGCGGAAATAATAATTTGGACTTGAATATTTCGTATTTTTTGATTCTCTAGTTTTCTAAGACATTTAAGTATTGTTCTTAAAATTTTAAAACAATTTCAAGAAACTTGTTAAGTCGAAAAAAATTATGCTAATATTCAAAAAAATAATTTTGATAATACATCATTCAATTTGAGAAAAGAAAAATTTTTCAAAGAAAAGATTCGACCTTTAGTCGAAGTACAAAAATTATATGTTTATAATATAGTTACACATCATCTATGTGTAATTTTTAATAGTTATACCTAATTTGATTTGGATTAAATTGTATAAATTTGATCGAACCTAATTATTCATTTGGTGTTATATCTTCCAATATAGGTCATTCCATGTCAATTTGACCAATTGTTGGAATCGAGCACTTTTGATTTTTAATTTATTTATTTATTTAAATTTAAATGCCAAGGCGTACAGCCATATTTCAAAAATTTTATACAAAGGCAGGGTTTAGTACACGTAAATATATCATTTAAAGCATGACAACATAATTATGTAAACAAGAACATTTGATTCTACAACAGTAGTTTTGACTATAATTTTAATTTTAGCTTATATAGCGTTTCAAATAATTTATTTAAATTTCTAAAAAACAGACAGTAAATTAAATTACTGATTTTTCTTTAACTCACGATCTAGAAAAAAGTTGAATGCTTTTATTTTGAAAGTAACAAGGCTAAGTGAATCTGTGATTTCAGTCGGTAATTCTCTCCAGAGATCTCTGGACGTCGACGTATTGCAGCTACTATCAATTAATGTTCGTATAAAGTTGGAGAAATTAGAAATTCTAAACGTGACATTATTTAATTTAGCTGCCAATCTGTCCAAGCGTCTAACATCAGGAAATTCTTCAATGAATAGGCTTTTGAGAAATTTAGGTCTGTCAGAGCTTAACAGTTTATATGTAAAGCAGGCTAAGTAATATAATCTCTTTGATTTGATAGTTAGCCATTTTAGCGAACGCCTTAATGGAGTGATGTGTTCATTCCGTTTTAGGGTGCAAATTAACCTTCTACCAATATTTATTAAGCGCTGTAGTTTATAATCCAGTCTTTTCGATAAATCTATCAGGACTACTGAGCAATATATATATATAGTCAATGATTGGGATGATTGTGGCAGTAACTAATAGATTGCGAGTATAAGTGGAGAGTATACTCTTTCTGTGCTTCAGACTATTTAGTGTAGCATAGACCTTTCGAGCGATGTGTGCAATATGGACATCATAGGAAAGGTTTCTAGATAGATAGATACCTAGATGTTTAGTTGCGTTTACATATGGGATGACATTTCCATCCCCGGGAAAAAATCAGCATGTATGATCGTGCTTGACCAAGCATTCTATGAATGAATCTGCATGACGGAGTATGGCCTTGTATGGCCATACGAGAAACTAGCTTGATCAAGCTTGATCATGCATAAAATCGGACACAGTGGGACTATCACGCATGACTGCGCATAGTATTTTTTTTTTAAATATACAAAAAAACTTTTACATTTTTTAAAAAATTTTTTAGAGTCCGTAATAAGTACAATGAACCACATTCAATTAAATATATTGTAAAAAACCTCGTCAACAATATGTTTAAAAAATTCGTCTATTATTATCCAGTTAATATTGATAAGTAATAAATCATCAACAAAAACCTTCAAAATAAACACGAGGTTTCAATCCTTGTTGTTTGGAAGCTACTAACTGTAAAACCTTAACTGTTTAAAAACTCCAATACGATCTCATCAAAAGCGACAAAAGCCAATAAATAAATATTTATTGGTTTCTAGGTTGCCTGCTGCACATTTCTCTTTTACTTATTAATTTTATGATACCCATATCGTCCTGGGATCCCGACTACGTTGACAACCATGTGCCTACCTAGGCCTAAGCCTACCGCAATAAAACAATTTCGTTAAACCTTATTTTACAAAATATTAAAGTAACAGTACATTTCTAAAAATTACTAAAAATAGAAATATCCTAAAGAATATTCTCATCACTTCGTCAGAAAATACTCTACTGTACTTTATTCTCCGACATATATATATATATATATATATATTAGCTGTTACCCGCCCGCTCCGCTGGGCGCTTTATAGAATTGTATTTTTAGATCTAGACTTGAAATTTAATTGGAGTATTTTTTTGACTTGCACAGATTCCAAATTCCATCAAATTGGCCTGTATCTTTTATCCATGTGATTATTCTAGCTAAAATTCATTGTAATTTTCAATGTGTAATCACTATAACATTCCCGTGGCTTTTTTCCAAAAATGAATATTAATTGACATGAAGAAAAAAAATTTGAAATGAACATTGATAGTTTTAGTTAAAGTAATTCTAGATCTCATAAGTAAAGTTGAAATCTGCCTAGCTTAAATTGCGACGAATGTCGCCGTTAATTAAAATTTCCCCCGTAACATCAATTATACATAGAAAATTATTTGGACTTGTTTTTTACGAATTTTCTTAAAATGAGTAGCCAAATTTTTTTTCTATATCTCATGTGTTTAGAAAATGCAAGGCTTTTAATCTGTTACATTTTCGCGATCCCGTGATAAGAACCATTCATCGGTTATGTGATCAGAAAAAATAAAATATATGTAAAATTCTTAGTCCGTTGACTAAATAGCTACATGTAATATTAAATTTTGGAAACGTTACAATAACTTTTTTGCCGCTGCCAAAGAGACGATTGTTGTAAGAAAATATCACTATTAAGAAAGAAAAATATTTAAATCCGTTGACCTTGGAGGCCACCCCGGTATTTGCCTGTTTTTCTTGAGATTCTATCAAATTTTATACTTGTAGGAACTGCATTTGAAGATTATGAATTTTTTAACAATTATCACTCCCGCACTCCTATGTGGGGGAGGAATTTCGTAAGATTCTATTCGAAATGATTTCTACATTATAAATAAAAGATTCCAACAAAACTTCGAGTCCATAAAAACTATCGATTGGATATGAGAAATTTTCATTGTTAACGCCCCCACAATCCCTTTTGGGGTTAGAATTCGAGAAAATCTATTCTCAGCTGAACTTGACATCGTACACGAAGATTCCTACCAAATTTAGAATCTGCAGAAGTTACAGTTTGGAAATTAAAATTTTAGATTTTTACACCCACCCCTGCAATCCCTATCGGAAGTAGAATTTTTTGGAATCCGTTTTGAGATGATCTCCTCATGACAAATGAAAGATTCCTACTTAATTTCGAGTTTGTAGAAGTTACAGTTTGGAAATGCAAATTTGAAATTCTAACACCCACCCCCGTATCCCTGTCGGAAGTAGAATTTATTGAAATCCGTTTTGAGATGATCTCTACATGGCGAATAAGATACCTACCAAATTTACAGCTTTTAGAAGCTGGGTCATTCTATGTCAAATCGACCAATAGTTGGAATCGACCCCTTTCGATTTGGACGAATTTTGGTCAGAAGTTTTCTTTTATCATATAACGAAGTTCTGCCAAAGGAAAAAAAATAAAAAAATTTTTTTCAAAAGATATGCAAACTCAAAATTTCGCGATTTTTCCAGTTTTTCAATTTTGTTTTTGTAATATCTCGAACGCTAGTATAGATACAGGAATAATCTTTCATTTGTTTGAAAGGGGACACTTGGAGCTATTGAAAAAAAAAATATTTTGGGAAAAAATTTTGAAAAATGCCAAATTTGTCAAATTTTGAATTTTTGAAAATCGTAAAAAATGACGGTCGACAATAAATTTTTTGCTCAAATTTTTTTATATACTACCTTGTACCAATCTTAAGAAATCCTGAAATTTTTGGAACTGTGTTTTTTGTTTTCTCAAAAATATGAATTTTTGAAATTTCTTAAAAAAAAAAATTTTTCTCCAAAATTTTTTTTTTATTTTTATCTCAATTGAGTTTGGTAAATCGCGTAATTTCGATATTCTGAACAATTAAAATGTCATTTAGTGGCATAACGATGAGAAAAAAAAAATTTTGGAGAAAAATTTTTTTTTTAAACAATTTTCAAAATTTAATATTTTTCAAAAAACAA